TGGAACCCTTCGTGCAAAAAATTCAAGGGAAGCAACTATAACATCTTTAATAGGAGAATTTCCCGAAAAGACGATTCATATGTTTAATGAAATTGCACAATATTTGAACTAGAATTTTTATTTAACTTAATACAAGTAGAAGGTTTTTCTGGCTTACTCCTTAATGTAAATTTGACATGGGGTCTAACCAGAGTACCATATAATCTGTTGCTCGATGGACTTGTCCTGGCTGGTCAGTTGTTTGAGATTCCTTCGGGATCTACGTAGTGGCTGTGGTTTATACCCAAATTCGCGGGGAGAGAATGTTGGTTTAAGGACTGATATATTCAAACGCCATATATGTCTGGATTCTCTCTCCGGTGCTGTTGCCATCTCAACAGATGTCACTGGGTGATGTGACAGATCAACTTATGCTGGATTCCGGAACCCGTTGAGTATCTCTTACACTTCGCGTAGTAGGGCGCCAGTATATGTTGGGGAATTTTCAGGTTGACACTTGGTAGTTGCCTGTCATTCCATAGATTGTTCTATATGGTCCGAGAATGGAACTGATGTAATTGGTGAACGATTGGGAACGACTCCTCTGCCCGACTGGAGACTAGTACTGTTTTAGTAGACCTTTTACTTTAGGGAAGTTCTCGGTGCTGTTGCCATCTAAACAGGATTCATATTGTTTCATGCTACGCGACTTATGGTTGAGGTCCATCACTCAACTTGTCGGGGCAATTATTGGGTTCGAATTGACTTCGAATATATTCACATTATCTGACATACAGAGGGATCCTGATTTATTGGCTGGGTATTTCGGACTACCAAATTCGTCTCTAGATGCTGTTGGCGAATCAACAGAGCCATCTCGGTAGTGTGGTTGCGCGGGCTTTAAGAGGTTAAGGAATGCACTGGAATGGGTCATTAGTTGATGGGGATTGCATTTTAAATAATGCGATCTTGTATGACATCATAAGGGTGGTTACCCTTCGGTATACCGAAAGATTGATTTCATCTGATGTTGGGGTAGTGGCCCCTTCTATTGACTTTATACCAAGTTATTGCTTTTTGCTTGTCGGTTTTTGCATTGGTATTGATCCCATGCGGCTCAGCCATGTACAAAAATTGCCACCTGAGTTCAGGGGCGCGTGGTAGACCGTCTCTAGTCTACCCAGTGGATGAAAAAGACCACCGTGAAATAAGGCCCTCCCCCCCGGGGGCATGTTACCTTGGTGAAATCTCCATCTTGGTGTTATTGCAATATTCCGGGGAAAAGAGGTGCTACCAATACCTCTAGTCTGCTGGGACTGTAAACTGGTGATGATGAAATATATTCTCGGTCTTTCCTTGGAATAGTTTGACATGGGGTCGAACCAGTGAACCACACAGTCTAGTTTCACGGGAACCGTTAGGCCACAGCGCAGAGTTCTGGACTTTGTCTTATCCAGCTTATTGGAGAGATCTCTTCGGGATACACGTGGTGGCTGCAGTTTAAATCTAAATTCGCGAGAAGATAATATTGGTTTAAAGACTAAAATCTATAATTCGGGATAAGTTCGGTGCTATTGCCGAGACAAAAAATACCCCATAGAGTAGTAACTGTGGGACTAAGCGTTGGAAATGAGTTGTGTTAAGTGTATATGACACGGGATGAATGTAGGGGTATGAGGATCACCGAATATCTAGAATGAGTGTGTTGGATGTTGTTTCCAATGATGGTGTCGGATGAATGAGAAGTGTGCTGGGTTGAATGGCTACATATTTCAGTTGATCGTTTACGATTTCTAGCTGTACTGACAAATCAGCGTTTGAACCCTACCAACAAAACAGTGAAATACTTCCTTTAAATATTATTTGTACCTAGGAAATTTCTTGTCTGTATAAAGCAGATGTGATAAGATAAGACATCCGGAAAATACTTATTCATCAACCTAATGTGATTTTTGCAACACCCAACCACCCATCCACTCTCAAGTTTGTTATTTGTGTCCTTTATTTACTTAAATATCTAAGTATTTTTGTTAAAAGTGTGTTTGTGTGTGTTTTGTATACATTTTTTCTTTCTTTTTTATTTTGTCACCCTCTATTTTGCACCATTTAGCGTAGTTGATGTTGTTGCAGTTGTTAACGCTATTGCAAAGTATTTGTTGGCAGGCATCCCAATCCAACATAACGAACACTTGAACTCTGCTTAAGTAAATATCAACTACTCTACACTATTTCATTCTAGTACCGAACCCAATAGTTGTTGTTGTTGCTGTTGTGAAATAAAAGAGCAGAAGAAAAAAATTTAAAGAAAAGCTCTGGAAAAAGGATAACAAGGATGCCTAAAGTACAAATATTTTAACAAGTGTCAAATACACACGCTACTTTTATTTAATACACACACACACACATTTAAATATACACAGTTCAAAAAATAACACGTTTCATATGTATGCAAGTATTTAATGTAGTGTTGTTGTAAAGGATTCACACGATTACTACACCATTTCCAAATTGAACAAAAAATATATACATATTTTTAAAAGTTATTCAAATAACTTTTATCATTAAAGTTTTAAAAAAAAACTGCTCAGATTTGAAAAGGTTCTGATTTCGATAGTCACCTTAAATCTCCTGAAGTATTGTTTCAATATTCCCAGGAAACAGTGTTTCAATTCTAGCACATAACTCCTCCACTGTTTTGTTTCTATTGCCAGTACTTTTCTCACTTTGTTGTTATTTTTTTTTAGTGTGTTCGTCTGTTGTAAGTTGCATTTGTTTTGCGTGTTTCATGCAGTATTTGTTCTAAATATTTGTTTCTTTTTTATTTTGTTCAGCCATTTTCTACAGCAATTCTATGCCAAGTGTTAAGGTTCTCGCAGTTCTTGAGATTTGTTTACATTTTTGTTAAAAGTTGTTTTTGAGTTGATGTAAATGTTGTCGCTGTCGTTGGCGTTAAGCTTTTACAAATGTCATAAAAACTTATTTTTGTGATTTGAAAAGAATTGTTGTTTTTTTCTTGTTAGTTCGCCCAGTTGCGCTGATTTTGTTGTGAGCATGCATGAATTGTTGGTCTTAGTCTCGTTTCGCATATGCCTGACAAGGATGTGGATTATAAATTTAAATGTTTCGTTTCTTTTTCACTGACACGTATTCACGTTTTTTTTAAATTGTTTCATTTTATGCGAGTATGGCCTGTTGCAGTTAATTTGAAATTAAAGAGTGTATTTAAAATTAAAGTTGTTGGGAATTTTGATCAATATAATTACTTGGCCAAATCTTGGTATCGTGTAACAAAAATAAACAATAATGACGAAAAAGTTCATAGACCGTAGTTATTTAAAACATTGGAAAAATTAGTTGGTATCTATGGTAGAGCTCATGCTATACTTCAGTTCGGTGCAAGAAGTCGAAGTGCTTTACGTGAACATCTGCACAGTGTTGGCCTTATTTTACGGTGGTACTTTTACAATCACAGGGTAACCTTTTTTTCAACTCAACACCTCCGCTCTGTGTTTTTAAACATCGTTCTGCCGGTCCATGTACAAGCACTTTGTTCAAGTACTCGAGCTATCTAATCTTTGACCATTGCTGCCCCTTTGCTTAACTTCCGAAAAGCAAAAACATCACTTCCGTTTACAACGACTCAGATGGGATGATCTCTATTGAGTTGGCAACAGCACCTAGAGACATATTCGGTAGACCCAAACACGAATCTATCAAATAAGCCTTGTTCTTACTTGTTCTTACTCACAGAGAGTAACTGGTATGAAAATCCATCCCGTATCATATGATTGACACTAACTCATTCCCAAAGCTTAGTCCCACAGTCACTCTTCTGCGGCGTTAATGTCGAAGTTGCTTTAAGTGGACACCTGCCGTGTTGGCCTATTTCACGGTGGTCTTTTTCAACCCCTGGGTGAGCTTGCCATAGTAGTCCCGTTGGGGAATGGCAGGTGTCGTGAGTCAAGCTCAGTCTAACCCCGACAAAGGAAAAGGCAAACAGTGGTTAGAGTCGATAGAAGGGGCGGACCCAACATCAGGAGGAATACAGACTAGAGATACTGGTAGGACCTCTTTACCCCGGGATTGAAATACACCAATATTAGGGTCTTTCATCAAGTAAACATGCACCGGGGGACTCTTCTGCAGGGTATCTCTTTGTCTCAGCAACTGAACTTATCCCGTATTATATACATTACCGTGCATCAGTCTTTTCACCAACATTCTCTTCCCGCGAATTTGGGTTTAATCTACAGCCACCACGTGTAGGGTCATCTCTAATAACCGGAACAGGACAAAGTCTGAAACTCTGCCTTGTGGGCTACAGGTTCCCGTAATTATGCTGTTATCTGGTTCGACCTCATATTAAATCATTCCAAGGAAACGCGGTCGTCATCACCAGTTATAGTCCCGGTCGACTAGAGGTATTGATAGCACCTTTTTTCCACGGTATTGCAATAACAGCAAAATGTTGGTAGATTCATCAAGGTACCCATGCCCCCGGGGGGAGTGTTCACTTTACAGAATATAATTACCCAGCAATTATACAACAATTTTTTTTCAAAGAAACAAAACTACTTACTTAACTCCCTATTTGCAGGCGATCATAGTAAGTACTTACCAACCTCCCTATTTGTAAGCGAGCGTGGTAAGTACTTGCCTCCAATGTCATCCCCGTGGAATGACTTAAAATGGTATTGTGTAAGTAAATTTTAGCATTTTAACCCCTTACTTTTCAATGTAAGTTTTTGCTGAGTAGATTTTTAAAAAAATTTTGAAATTCCTTCAAAATTTGTATTTCTTTTACATTTTTGGGGCATTAACTTGTAGCTGGACATGTATATTTTTTTATATAGCAAGGATCAAGATTCTAAAAAACCATGCTATTGTATGCGGCCCTTTAGGTTGCGGATTTTCAACAAGAATATTTTGTTTTTATGAATGACAGATATGAAATTTTCGATAAATTTTATTTTAATTATCAAATTCTAATAAATTTCCTTTAAATCTCCTTATCTTTGCAGTTATGCGGTGATAACAGGACTCATTGAAATATTATCGCGACGATGCATGAAAATACGTGAATCAATTGAAAACCACCAGAGTGTGGTTCTCTCATTGTTGGCTACGCTTGGCTTCATCACAAGGTTCATTGATGTCTGTCCACCGGGTAAGTGTTGGTGCTTACAACATGCACACAATTTTACTTTTTTTATACCAACTAAAAAACCGTATTGTCCTTTTTCCAAAGTACGCTATTACGTTTGACTGAATATGGACGATCAGTTCAGGAAATAGTTACATTCATTAATGTTCACACCTTGCGGCTAATTATTCATTAATTTTCACCTTTTACTGTTTTACTCTTTTTTTATTTGGGTTGTTTTCTTTTTTTATTATTAATTTCCTTTTTCTTTTACTACGGTTTTAATTCACCTTTAATTTGTGTGTATGTTTGTTTTTTTTTACAGGACCCACAGATCCTACACGTTTCCTAAGTGCGGCAAAATCCACTGAACTCTTTGGTTCCATATCGATGCTCTATGCCAGCGTAGTACCAATTGGTAAGTTAGTGTGTTATAATGTTGACGTTAATGCAACATGCTGTGGCAGGTTGTAAATAGACGTGTGTATGAATTTATCTATGACTCACATATTTATGACCTGCTGTTCTTGTATTTTATTTAACATTTTTCTCTTCTAATCAAGTGCAAAGTGCATTTTTCGGATGATTTATTTTCTCATCTGTAATCTAACAAATCATTTCAATATGTTTTTTTCTCTGCTTTTAAATGTTGACGTGAGTTTTCTTGAAAAACGGAAATTATAGAAATTTTCTTGTTAACTTTATGAGATGAGAAGAATGCAACAAACAGATCGTTTTAATTTATGACTTTATGATTGTATATCCGTTTTTTACATCTGAAATTTTCTTTGATTTATTTATGATGCAATTGATGTTGCTGTTTTTTGTCAATATTTTATAGGTGAATGCATTCCACCGAGAACGATTTCGTTAGCGGCTGCAACATTTAATCTATTAGTTTCAATGGCTGTGTTGGATTTATCTACGTTCCAGGTAAGTTGTGTTTGAGAACAATTAGGAATACATGAAGATAACATAAAATCGACTAAATTATTTCCAAATAAAAAGATTCGTTATAACCAGTAGTTTCAAAACTCAAAAGACAGTGTCATAATTAAATTTTTAAAAACAGGAAAGAAAAACAGTTTTGACAGTTATACAATTCCATTTAATGTTAAAATAAAATAATATTTTTCTAATCTCTGCTAAAATCTTTATACATTTCAATTTAAATTATTATTTACTTTGTTTATAACTTAATTTTAACAAGAATAAAAGTTTACTTGAAGTAAATCCTAGTAAAAATCCTCTAGGAATAACAACCCCTTTTCAAAAGCAAAAATACTAACACTTCAAAGAACATTTCTTAATAAAATATTAGTTGTAATAAATAAAATCTATTCCATAAAATAAATAATTGTAGGGTAATATGAAGGAGAGTAGCATGAATTCTTCATTTCGTTTTCAGTCACTTACTCTCTAGCTCTGACTTGTGTACAAAGTCTACTGAAAAACAAATCATTTTTAATTTGTTTACAAAGATGCCAAGAGTAATAAACCAAATGTAAATATTTTCCTAAGCAATTTTCTTTAATTTCAGAACAAAAATATGAAAACAATACATTATACACAAATCAGAGCAAAAGAAGAAAAAAAGGCACAACCAAAGAACCAAAGAGCGTTAGAACCACCCTCAGCATCACACTTGTTTTAAAGCTTTTTTTGTGTATGTTCTTAACCAGAAGATAAATTGCATCCTTTATGATTTTAAACACTGAGAGAAATATTGTTTTTATCTTGTGGAATAATAGTAATTTCATTTCTCACATGTCCCAATGTCTTGAAACCCATTTTAACTGGACTAACTGTTGTCGATATTTCAAGCTTTAATTCTCGGACTCTGTTTCGTTGATATATCTATCAGTTGCATCAATTTCCTTCTGGTGGAGATCTAAAGACTTAAGGTCTGTTTCATAAACTATTTTTGTTTTATAAACGGTTTACAAATCAAATTTTTGTATGGAAATTTTGTTTTATAAACCTTTCATAAAATAAAATATTGCTTATGCATAAGGGTGTTAACTCATCTGATAATTTTGTTTTATGAAAATGTGAAGGAAAAAAATTTATTTCAAATAAATAAATACGTCACAGTGGACACCCAAAAACTATTTTTTTGGAACACATTTTTCCCGTTTTAGGAACTTTGTTTATTTATGTATATATATGAATGTGTGTTTGTTTATATGTATTGTATGTTTGAACGTTGTAGACTAGTAAACGGCTGAACCGATTGTCTTCAAATTTTCACAGCGTATTCGTGCATGTCTGAAATAGGTAATATGCTACATTTTATTTTGAAATTCCAAGTGGACGAGGAGCCACGCCCATATTACGAAAATATTAAATCCGTATATTTGTGATAATATAACAGAGCCACTTTAGTGTAAATATGATTATTTAGGACAAAAAGTAGGCGGACTAGCATTAGGGGTCGTGGGACCTCCCATATAAATTAAATACATAAATTCGTTTATCTGGGAAATTAATAGGACTTGATTCTTAAAATTTTGCACAAATTTCTTTAATATTCATCTGAACATTTTGAAGGAGCTTGAAGCCCCCACTGAGAAACTATTACAGATAGAATCTTCAAATTTTACATGAAGAACTTTGACATTCATGGAACATTTAGAGAATAACGGGCGGACTTTAAATGGGTGGCTTGGCACCACATACATATATGAATTAATTACAAAATTTCGTGTATCTTGGAAACTCTTATATTATTCAAATTTTTCATAGATATATAGAAATTGACGATAGATAGAAACTGGCGAACTTGCAATAATTTTATTCCATCGGATATAAAATTGACTGGTGATAAGTTTTAGCGCAATGAGAATTCGACTATTTCCATACACAGAGGGAAAAAACACGTTCTAAAAATATACACACTTTGTACCAAATTGAGACCAAAGTGTTCATAATTTTTCAATAACATCCGTTATCAAAGTATGTACGGATAGTTCTCAACAACAACAACAACAACAAAAATATAAAAAATACACGACGTTATCACATCAGCAAAAACCAAAGGGAGACCAAAGTGTTCATAATTTTTCAATAACATCCGTTATCAAAGTATTTACGGATAGTTCTCAACAACAACAACAACAAAAATATAAAAAATACACGACGTTATCACATCAACAAAAACCAAAGGGACAACGAAGTTGTCAAACAGAACGTTGCGTTGTCGAAATGAAAACGATTCGTTGTCGAAATCACATTGCCGAAATAACACAAAGTGTAACCAAATGACAAAAATGCGTTGTTGCAATGACAACGATGCGTTGTTAAAATTACAATGGTGATTGTCAAACCACTCCTAAGATATTTGAATCTAACTTCGTCGAATGTCGGAATGCCACGGAATTTAATCTTTAAAATAACATCGAATCTGAAATAACCAAAAAGCTTAAATAACTACCAATCTATTAATCGCCTTTGAAATTTTTTTTTTGTGCGGTTCACAGTCGGAATTTTAACACCATCGAATAAGACGTTCAGACGTTCTTTGTGATAGTTAAAGAGGTAAAATAACTCGTATGATAGACTGGTAACTATTCAAATACTACACGAACTATCTCTTCGTATTGTCGCCATAATCAATTAAGAAATCAATTCCAATCCTTGGGTAGGTGTAGATAGTCTAAAGATATAAAAGGAATTCCTTGTTTGATCCTTATGGAGTTTGAGTCTATGTCTTTAAGATCGATTGGCTTCCATTCGAATAGAACACGATCTATCACTTCGTTATTGAAAACTGATGTATATCCTGGAAAATGTTTTTTGCTTCAGGGATAATCACTTTAGATAGTTGGTCGTTGCATGCCACTTCAACTGGTCTGAAGTGGTGTAGTGTTTCTGATAGTGGAAGTTTTCGAACAATACTTCTTTCCCCTTACATCGTAGTATTGGATAGAGATCGAACTCAACTTGAGTTCGAGATTTAACCGTCTCTTTCGTTTTTCATCATGTAACAATTTGCTAATTTCCTGGTTCAACTATGTGAACCTTGGATCGCCTGGGTTGGAATTCGGATGTCATTTCCTTCAACTGATAGTTTCGCAAAAGTGTATGTTCCCTTTGCAAAGCAGTGCTGATGTGACAAGAGTTAATGTTTTTCGATTTAACTCAGATTTTCATATTTTGGTGCCACTATATTACGCATGCCCCAAAATTGAGGAATCGATCAAAATTTCATAAAAAATGTCTGCAAATATTTTTCACAGTGTAGAATTCATAGAAAAAGTTTCCTTTTCCACATTTTATATAATTTTTTTACTCATCTTTTATTACAAAATTTCTTTTTCCTCAGTTGTTTATTTGTTGTTTTTTACAAAGATGAATAATAAAAAAACATTAAATAAAATGATAATAAAATACAAATATTTTATTAATTTATGTATGCAAAACTACTCAAAAATTCACAAAGCATAAATTTTTTCCCATTCCCTCCTTCATAACGACTTCAACTTGAATCGAAAAACTTTTTCAAAAACTTTATATTTTCATCTTCATTTTCTATCTCCTTTAACTTGAAAATGAAAACTTTTGTGTTGAGTAGAAAAATAATAAAAAATAACAAACCAAAGAATATAAATCTGTTAGAATTATTAAGTGTGTTGCAAATACTCGAATACAAAACGCAACATACGAGTAACTCCTCTCCAGCCAACAGGAGCAAACACAGGCAGCAGCCGCATCGCCAGCATTAGACTAAAAAGAATAATGCCGACATTTGTTCGTAAATAAGTGGCTGAGTTGTTTGAAATAGAGTTTCTCCCCTTTTTTGTTGAATCGTTGAAGGATTTTGTTAAATGTTCATTTCTTGTGTCAATATTTATTTGAAAAACAAATAAACTGAAACTCACAATTGAGTTGTGTTCATGATTAAAACCCAATAATTTTATTTACTTTTTGTATTTTTAATTTTGTCAGCAGCAGTCAGACGTCTATTGTGTGTATTGGTAAAACAAAAAGTAAACTGAACTTTTGACTAAAACAGACCTCCCAAAAATACATTGTATGCCGGGAAGATGAGACGGACTAATATTTGATTAAAAATACTTAGTTTTTCAAACCCTACATCACCACTACTGTAGCGAAAGTATTATGCGTTTGTGTTGCTGTTTGTAAAAGAAACAATATTAAATATTAGTACGATCATCATATGTACATATGTTAGGACTGTGCCAGAAAAGACATATATTTCTATTAGGTTAAATAACACTTAAATCGTTCATAACAAAAATTGTGAAAATGATGTATATTTTTACAAATTTATTGAACATTCTTCCCTTTAAAGATTTTATAGTTAGTTTAGGTATCGTGAGAAACTGCTTAATAAGCAGCTCACTTGGTCCATTTAGTGTTAACCTACACAGAGGGAAAATGAAATATACACTCCTGGTACCAAATTGACACCAACCTGTTTATAATTTTTCAATACCATCCGTTGTCAAAGTATATACATAAGTACGTACGACAACACTATGTAATGTTGACAACATTGCAACAGTTCGTTGTCGAAATCTAAATTTTACACACATCCGTTTTCTTAATGTTAACAAACGTGGTAAGCTCACTATTGACAAACAATCCGTTGCCAATAGTGAGCTTACCACGTTTGTTAATATTTAGACAACGGATGTGTAAAAAATTTAGATTTAGACAAGGAAGTGTTGCAATGTTGACAACGTTGCGTTGTCAACATTACATAGTGTTGTCATACGTATGTATATACTTTGACAAAGGAAGTTATTGAAAAATTATAAACTCTTTGGTGTCAATTTGATACCAGGCGTGTATATTTCCTTTTCTCTCTGTGTAGTGGTCACAGCAGTGCAATATGGTATAACTCTCTGCTTCCAGAACTAAACCACCCGGTTTCATTTATGGCAAGGCTGAGGATGCTCTTAAGATCT